GGGGGGGGCGGCGCAGCACAGATGCGAGTGCTTTTCACCATCTCTGTGGTGGGAGGAGCTCAAGCTGGGGTCCTGAGTGATTTCTTGGAAAGTTTATCCTAAGGACCCTCTAAGTAGAGTGACCACAGAGCTTAATGCGCAGATGGGGACAGACGGTCACCCCCTCGACCACATTGACCAGATATGGAAATGCAGGCAGAGCCCTCTGGACATCCCCTTCACATAACTGTGCGTGGCTCACACAAAGCCCCATCTTTCTGCTTTTTCAAGAAACGCGTTGAATGTGGTGAAAAATGACCTCATTGCCAAGGTTGACCAGCTGTCTGGGGAGCAGGAGGTACTGAAGGGTGAGTTGGAGGCTGCCAAGCAGGCGAAAGTCAAGCTGGAAAACCGCATCAAGGAGCTGGAGGAGGAGCTGAAGAGGTGAGTGCAGGCGGCGTGGAAAGCGGAGCAATACCTTTTCAGCCAGCACCCCAGCGTGCCCCAGGTGGCTCTGTGTCCAGCCTGCCCAGTCCCCTTGGCTCCAGCTGCATCAACTCCATCCAGACCAGCTACCATGTGGGGCCGTGGGCCCCTGAGCCCAGCTGGGGCAAGAAATACCCAGCCCTTACAAGCCAGCACACCAGGCCTGTCTTGTGTGTCCCCTCATTAGACTGTATGCAGGGCCTGGCTGCAGCACTCATACCAACCTGTACCTGTAGGAGGATGAGGGAGATGCTTCACACTCCCTCCACCCCAGCCCTTTGAGAGGGCATGCGCTGAAGGGGAAAGGGAGGTAGGGGTCTGAGGCCACCCTTGCCAGGCTGATACCCAGATCTGCTGCAGACCTGCCTGCAGCCAGCACTGCCCAGGGGTTTCACCTGCTTTGCCTCCTTTCAGCGTTCTTCAGCTGGAGCAGTCGGGATTCATTTCTGGGCTTCAGGACACACGTGAGGCAGGGGTATGGGGTTGCCTGACCTCAGGGAACTGGCAGGAGCATTCAGCGCCCTCAACCAAAGAGCTGCCACTGAGCCCTTGTGGGGAGAGCCCTGAGTCCTGAGCCCTGCACAGAGGCCAGGACATAGCAGCTGGGCAACCCCAGCCCAAGCCTGGACATTCCCAAGGTGCTCTGAGCCTCACCCTCACTACTTCCTTCCTTGTCCTGCAGAGTGAAGTCAGAGGCCATCATTGCCCGCCGCGAACCCAAAGAAGAGGTGGAGGATGTAAGCAGCTATCTCTGTACAGAATTGGTATATTCCGCTATTAACATGTGGGGCACGGGGGTGGGGCAGGGCGGGCTCCCGGGACCTGCTGGTTCTCCCACTATTAACTTGGGGAGGCAGGGTGGGGCAGACTCCCAGGGACTTGTTTCTTCTGGCTCTGGGCCCTCCTCATCTTCCCAGTGTGACATCGATGCCACCCCACTCCTGTGACTGCATGGAGTCGGAACCCTGCCCTTTGGCGGGATCCCAGCCCTGGTGTTGATGCTGGGTCACCCCTCAGCCCCGAGTCCTGGCGCATGCATTTTACATGGTCACAAGTGGGCCTCCCCATCTGTGCAACCCAACCACTGTGCTGTACATTCCAAGTCAGTCACCTGCTGTCCCCTTTTCCCCTTCCCAGGCCCCACCCCATTTCACCCCCACCCCCCAGAAGCACGGTTGTCCTGAGGAAAGCCCTTTGCTACCAAGGCATTGCAGAGCCCTTCCTGCCTCAGAACCCTCTGCCTCTCTCTGGATGAGAGGCCAGGGATGTATGCCCATCATCTGACCACAGGGCCGCCTTCCTTGAGGAACGCAGGCAGGGCTCCTGGACCCACACCAACTCCCAGTTGCATTTTGGACGCTGGCCTCCCCACTTATTAGCTCAGACCCTTGGGGGCCATGGGGAAGATAAAGTGTTGCCATGTGTCTCAGGGCCAGCCTGTGTAGGCCCTCACCTCCATGGTCCAGGAGGGAAGCAGCTCGAGCCTTGGCCCCCTTGTTCCAGCCCTGAGTCCTGAGTCCTGAGTCCTGAGCTGGGCTTTGTACCTGTGAATGTGGAGTGCTGGGGAGTCAGGGCCATGTAGGGGACCCCACTGCCCACCCGCTGCTCCCTGGCAACCCTCTGCTGGGCAGGCCAGGGTGTGGCTGTGGGGAGCAGACCCCATGCAGGTCTGCCAGAACCCAACTTCTTCTCCTGACTGAACCTTTCCTAGAATGTCCCTTCTGTTTTTTGTTTTTTTTTAATTGAGGTCTCACTCTGTCACCCAGGCTGGAGTGCAGTGGCACAATCACAGCTCAACCATAGCCTCAACCTCCTAGGCTCAGGTGATCCTCCCCTATCTCAGCCTCCCAAGTAGCTGGGACTACAGGCGCTCACCACCATGCCTGGCTAATATTTTTATTTTTGAAGAGACAAGGTCTTGCTCTGTTGCCCAGGCTGGTCTCAAACTCCTGGAATCAAGCAGTCTTGCTTGACATCCCAAGTAGCTAGGGCTACAGGTGCTCACCATCATACCTGGCTAATGTTTTTATGTTTGTAGCGACAAGGTCTTGCTATGTTGCCCAGGCTGGTCTCAAACTCCTGGGTTCAAGCAATCCTGCCTCGGCCTCCCAAGTGCTAGATTACAGGTGTGTGCCATCATGTCTGGCCTTAGAATGTCCCTTCTTGTCCTTTCACCCTGGGCCAGTCTCACCTACACCTTACCTGAGGCATCTGTGAGTGTTCAGGGACATGCAGGGAAAGTCACTTCTGTCATACTCCTCACATGTGTCACGGCGGCCCTGACAGGGTCAGGCAGAATCAGTGATACCTTTTCCCCTTGCCCATGCCCCTTCCCATCACTGCTTGCCTGAGGAGCTGTGGAAAATCTGCACTTAGATGTGCCCACACCTGGGGGCTTCTCCACCCAGGAGGCAAGCACCCCAGGAGGAAGCAGGGTATGACCTGGCCTCCAGGGGCTGGGCTGACCCACCAGTCTATCCCTCATGGGTTGAGCCTCAGTGTCTCTCCCCTCTGCAGGACAAAATCCCCATGGCCCAGCGCCGCCGCTTTACACGGGTAGAGATGGCCCGCGTGCTCATGGAGCGAAACCAGTACAAGGAGCGACTGATGGAGCTGCAGGAGGCCGTGCGGTGGACCGAGATGATCAGGTGAGCCCTGGGGTCCTGAGGCTGGGAGCCTTGCTCCCCACAAAGTGTCAGAGATCCACTTGTCTTCATTGGTGAGCCATGGTCGGTGTAGGGGGGGGTTGCAGGATCATGCGAGACAATGGAATTGAGGAACCTACCCCTCTTCTGGGAGAATTACAGGGTACTGGGTCCTCCCTGGTGGCAGCTCCCTGGTGGCAGCCTTCCCCAGCCAGGGAAGTGAGGGGGCCAGCAAGCTCCTCCCTGTGCCCTTCCCCTATAGGGCATCCCGAGAGCACCCATCTGTCCAGGAGAAGAAGAAGTCCACCATCTGGCAGTTGTGAGTTGGGGGCGCCTGGAGGGGGTGGACAGAGGCTGTAGGAGATAGGGTGGGGAGTCTCCCCTGTTCCATGGTCTGCCCCTCACCTCCCTGTGCCCTTGGCAGTTTCAGCCGCCTCTTCAGCTCCTCCTCCAGCCCCCCTCCGGCCAAGCGGTCCTACCCTTCAGTGAACATCCACTACAAGTCACCCACCACAGCCGGCTTCAGCCAGCGCCGCAGCCATGCCATGTGCCAGATCTCAGCAGGCAGCCGGCCCCTGGAGTTCTTCCCTGAGGAGTAAGTTTCCCTCAGCCTCCACTGCCCCCACTTATGTTCTGCAAGGGTGAAGAGGAGGTTGTACCTCTAGGGCAGGTGTCCGTAGTGGGAAGAACTCAGCCGTGACCGCTCCATGCACAGAGGGCCCCCCACCCTCCAGCTGGGAGCTTGGGCTGTTCTAGCTCCAAAGTATTCTGTTCTAGATGCCCCCTGGCAGAGACTGCACACCCAATGGCTCCTCCTTTTTTTTTTTTTTTCTCTTTTCTTTTTGAGTTGGATTCTCACTCTGTCACCCAGACTGGAGTGCAGTGGCACGCTCCCGGCCACCGCAGCCTTGACCTGCTGGGCTCTGGCAATCCTTCCACCTCAGCCTTCCAAGTAGCTGGAACTACAGGCGTGCAGTAGCATGCCCAGCTAATTTTTTTTGGATTTATTGTAGAGATGAGGTCTCACTAAGTTGCCCGGGCGGGTCTCAAACCCACGGGCTCAGGCAATCCATTCACCTCGGGCTCTCAAAGCGCTGGGATTACAGGCTGAGTCTCCGAGCCCAGCCAGCTCCTCCTCTTAGTCCTAGTGGACTATTCTGGCCCCACAGTGGCCCCGGCTCTGCTACCCTGAGGCTCTCGTTGCAGCAAGGAGCCATTTCAGGCCCACATCCAGAAGGAACTGCTGGCTGCAACTGTGCCCCAGCTGCACTTTAGGACCCTGGCAGCTGAGCTCTTGGTGACCATGACAGCAGAGGGGGCTCCAGGTCGGGCAGGTGCTGGATGTGGCAGCTAAGCCCAGGATCTGGTGCTGGAGAAAGCCACGTTCCTGTCACGCACCTATGCACCAGGAAAAGGGAGGACAGGTCTAGGCGGGCCTCCCAGCCACAGCCACACAGGGCAGGATTAGGGGACTGGGTGTCCTGGGCCTTGCCAGCCACTCACCTTGGACAGAGCCGTCCCCTGTCATTCCCTCCACTCAGCGACTGCACATCCTCTGCCCGGCGAGAGCAGAAGCGTGAGCAGTACCGCCAGGTGCGTGAGCACGTGCGCAATGACGACGGGCGACTGCAGGCCTGCGGCTGGAGCCTGCCAGCCAAGTACAAGCAGGTGCGTGTGAGGTGTGGCCCAATGTGGCAGTGTGGAGGCGGGGCAGGGGCCCGATGGGCTGTATGATGGTTGGGGCACAGGTGATGGGTGGGGGCAGCAGGAGGGCACAGTGCAGGGTGGGTGGGGTGGGGCGGGGCCAGGCAGGTGCCACCCCTCAACCTCCCCAGCTGGCCTCCCCTGCTGGGGTCTGAAGCTGTCTGGAAGGGGAGGAGGAGCCCCCAGCCCCCAGGGCACCACCTATTGAGGGCCATGGGGGCCTGGCTCCTACCCAGGGCCGGCTCTGTAGCTGAAGCCAGTAGCTCAGCCTGACCCAGGTTTCAGAAGGGACAGGCAGCAAACCAGGCCTCGTGCCCGTGGTACCTCTCTGCTTGTTGCAGCTGAGTCCCAACGGGAGCCAGGAGGACACACGAATGAAGAATGTGCCGGTCCCTGTGTACTGCCGCCCTCTGGTGGAGAAGGACCCGACCATGAAGGTGAGCCGGTCCTACCTCTCATAGCTGAGCTGGGGAGGAGCATCTCCTACAGCCCAGCAGGGAAGAGCATGTGCCCTGGCCCACAGCCCTGTCCTTCCAGCTGTGGTGTGCTGCCGGGGTCAACCTGAGTGGGTGGAAGCCTAACGAGGATGACTCTGGGAATGGAGTCAAGCCAGCGCCAGGTCGCGACCCCCTGACCTGCGACCGGGAAGGGGACAGCGAGCCCAAGAGCAACCACACATCTCCTGAGAAGAAGAAGGTCAGTGTGGCCAGCTGAGGCCATCAGTGCCACCGCCTTCTCTGCTTAGTCTCCAGACAGTCTGGGTTGGAGGGACAAAGCTGGGGACAGTACCTATGAAACTGGAAATCCAGGGAACATGGCATCTTCCCTGCCCAGGGCTGCATGATCTCCTGGGTTCTCAGGTTACCCAGGAGTCAGGAGTGCAGTCCGGTAGTCTTGGCCGTGGAGTGTGGTGGGTCCTCTCCACCCTCCTTGTGGCGAGTGCTAAGGCGCAGGGCTCTGCAGGCTACAGGGCTGGAAGGGTCAGGCCACCAGGAACTTCTCTCTGCAAGGAACATGTTTCACTGCCTGCGCAGAAGCAGTCAACAGAAGGACTGAACACAGGAGGGAGGCAGAAGTGCTTCCCAGATGGGGCCTAAGGCTGAGTTTCATGTCCCAGCTTGATCTAGGGACTGGTGGCTTAATCTCTCAAAACTCATGGGCTTCCACCATGGAAGTGAAACCATATATGTGAATAATTTAGATAAAATGTGGTTCCATAGCCTGGGCAACGTGGCAAGACCTTGTTTCTACAAAATATCAAAAAATTAGCCAGGCATGATAGTGCGTGCCTGTAGTCCTATCTACTCAGAAGGCCGAGGCAGGAGGATCATCTGAGCTCAGGAGGTCGAGGCTGCAATGAGTTGTGATCGCATCACTGCACTCCAGCTTGGGCCACAGAGCAAGACTCTAACTCAAAAAAAAGAAAAAATGTGGTTCTGATTCCCCATTGTCCTGGCTATGCGGGAGGTCAGCCAAGTCCTCTAAAGCCATGGTCAAGATTAGATCCTTAGAGATTCTGGGAGACCCCCATGGCCTCATGTTGTTGCTGGAGCAACCTTGAGCTTAGGTTCCAACCTTGATCCCATTCGCTAAAACAGGCCAAGGAGCTCCCTGATACAGACGCCACCTCCAGCCGGGTGTGGATCCTCACCAGCACCCTAACCACCAGTAAGGTGGTGATCATTGACGCCAACCAGCCAGGCACCATTGTGGACCAGTTCACGGTCTGCAATGCCCATGTTCTGTGCATCTCCAGCATCCCAGGTGCGTCCAGCCCCGCCCCTTGAGACCCTGACTAGAACATTAAGCAAAGAGGGCTGCCACAGGGCACCTGTGTGTATGTGACATCCTATGAACACAGGATCATGCGAGTGGGCAGTGGGAGGCAACTGTGCCCACTCAAGTGAGACCTTGGACCCCTCGTCCAGGAGGATGCTTGCTGGCAGCCTCATTCTGCTCCGTCTCTGCCTGGTTAGAAGGTGACGGGCATGCTGGCCACTGACAGGCCACAGGTTGGAGCATTGGCCAGAGGCAGTGAGAAGACATTGCGATGAGTATGAAACCTCCAGTTGGGCCAATGTCCCGCTGCCTGGCTGAGGGCTGGGAGAGCTGAGGGTGTGTGGGTGAGGGACTTGGCGTCACCCCTTGGGCAGCAGCCCTGGCAATACTCTGGGACCAGCCCCAGCATTGCGAGGAGGAAGGGGTGAGAGTCCTGCCAGCTCTCTGGTGTGAAACCATAGGCCATTTGCTGAGATGGCCCTAAACTCCTTACAGTTTTTGACGGTCTGTCGCATGATCACAAGCTGTTTGCTACCAGAACCAGAGTCTCACTACTCAGCGCCCCTCAGCCCAGGGCCCTACCCAACAGAGCAAGCTGGCTAGAGTCCCAGGCCTCCAGTGGGCTGTGGGTGGTGCTGTGTGTAGAGGCTGGGTCCTGCTGGGTGAGAGCAGAAGACTGGCCTCGTCTCCCTCAACCCAGCACCACCAGGGTGTGAGTTCTGGGAGTGACCTTGCAGTACTGGGTTTCTCATGGGCTGACGGGCAGTGACTCTCCCCTCAGCGGCCAGCGACAGCGACTACCCCCCTGGGGAGATGTTCCTGGACAGTGACGTGAACCCAGAGGACTCCGGCACTGATGGCGTGCTGGCTGGCATCACCCTGGTGGGCTGTGCAACCCGTTGCAATGTGCCACGTAGCAACTGCTCCTCCAGGGGGGACACTCCTGTGCTGGATAAGGGGCAGGGTGAGTCCTGGCAAACTTCTTCCCTTGTCTCCCTCGTTCCCACATCTCTGCCCGGCCCAAGCTCACTTCTCCTTTCACAGGAGAGGTGGCTGCTGTTGCCAATGGGAAGGTCAACCCGTCCCAGTCCACAGAGGAGGCCACAGAAGCCACAGAGGTTCCAGACCCTGGACCCAGTGAGCCAGAGGCAGCTGCAGTGCGGCCCGGGCCCCTCACGGAGCATGTCTTCACTGACCCAGCTCCCACCCCACCCTCCAGTGCCCTGCCTGGCAGGTATGCTCTCAGGCTGGGGCAGTGAGGAGAGCAGAGGGGAGCGACTGGCAGGGTCTCGGGGCCACAGGGAAGGCACATGTCCTGTAGGCCATCCTAGAACTGTCATCCTTCCTTCAGTGAGAACGGGCCGGAGCCTGACAGCAGTGGTGCACCACCCGAGCCAGAGCCCAGCGGGGACCCCATGGGAGCAGGCAGCAGTGCTGCACCCACCATGTGGCTGGGAGCCCAGAACGGCTGGTAGGCAGGGCCCTGGGGTAAGGTGGAGGGACAGTCCCTGAGTGAGCCCCTCGCCCACTATGACCTTCTCCCACAGGCTCTACGTGCACTCTGCTGTGGCCAACTGGAAGAAGTGTCTGCACTCCATCAAGCTGAAGGACTCCGTGCTGAGCCTGGTGTGGGTGACCCCAAGCCAAGGGCCGGGTGTCGGGAGGGGCGCCATTGGCCTGGCTGAGCTCAGCTCACCACATTCCTATTTCAGGCATGTCAAAGGCCGTGTGCTGGTGGCTCTAGCAGATGGAACCCTGGCCATCTTCCACCGAGGCGAAGGTGGGGGCTAGCACTTGGGGCGGGTGGGTGGCAGCTAATAGCCCTGTCAGAGATTGGCCAAGGGGACCCTCTGGGCCCCTAGGACCGGTCCTCAACCTAGAAGCAGATGTGTCCACCCACCTGGTGAGCAAACTGGGCCCCCCCAGGCCTGAGCAGCTGTTGCGGGCTCCTTCCAGATGGCCAATGGGACCTGAGCAACTACCACCTGATGGACCTGGGCCACCCACATCACTCCATCCGCTGCATGGCTGTAGTGCATGACCGTGTCTGGTGTGGCTATAAGAATAAGGTGCACGTCATCCAGCCCAAGACCATGCAGATTGAGGTGAGTACTGGCCAGTGGCCCAGGGCTCCAGGAAGGGAAAAGGCCCTGCCAACGGCATCACCCCCCATCAGGCATTCATGGGAGCTTTGTGAGGTCACGTGGTAGACGGGCTCAAAGCTGGGTGTGCTTGCCAGCCTGTTCCCTGCCGTCCACCCTAGACACAAATCCAGGAGTCTCTGTGCGGCCCATCCTCCCCTCCCTGCCTGCAACTCAAGCTCCTCCCAGGCAAAGCAAGCGTTGGGTCGGAGGGGAGGGGGCTGTGTGCATGTCAAGTGGTCCCAGGGCTGTGGCAGATTCAAGGCCCCTCCCCCTTATCTCCTTTCCCCACCCCCATTGATGGGCTCCCCTGACCCTGCAGAAGTCGTTTGACGCCCACCCGCGGCGGGAGAGCCAGGTGCGGCAGCTGGCATGGATCGGCGACGGCGTGTGGGTGTCCATTCGCCTGGACTCCACCCTGCGGCTCTATCACGCCCACACGCACCAGCACCTGCAGGACGTGGACATCGAGCCCTACGTCAGCAAGATGCTGGGTGAGGGACTGTGCCCAGCGGGTGGCTTTGGGGCACTCAGCCTCGGCTGTGCTGACCTCTCCTCTCTTGCCCCCAGGCACTGGCAAACTGGGATTCTCCTTCGTGCGCATCACGGCGCTGCTCATTGCGGGCAACCGCCTCTGGGTGGGCACCGGCAATGGAGTCGTCATCTCCATCCCCCTGACCGAGAGTGAGTAATCCCTGCACATCTGCAGAGGCGGTGATGGCTGCCATCAAAGGGTGCAAATGGCTACTGGGGGTGGTTGCTGCATGACCACATTCCTCACCGCCCCTCTGCTGACTGCCTCTCTTCCCTCCCGTGCTCACTCCTCGCCCCCAGCTGTGGTCCTGCACCGAGGCCAGCTCCTGGGGCTCCGAGGTAAGTCTGAACTCCTGCCTCCTGCTCATGGCAGGAAGCCTCTGACCCCAGACCTCTATGGCAGGTGCTTTCCCGCCCTCCCTCTCTCCCCCCACCCACCCCT